CCCATAAAACTCGTACATCGGCGGCCCATTTCATTTCACCCAGCCCCGCCAATTAAGCAAAAAAAAAATGAAATGGGCCGCCGATGTACGAGTTTTATGGGCCGTTAAGAAAAAGAAAAAAAAGTATGAGATGTATCGGCTGAAAAAGCACGTCGGCCCACTGGGAATCTCCCGTAGTCCCGATGGCCAGAGATATAGATAGCCTACATGCCTGTGTGGTGAAGTGGCGCTTTAAGCATGACTCTGCCCCATGTATATTTACAGAGCCTTATTTAGAGTATATAAAGGGCAGCCCCAGAGTAGCGGGAGATTGCGTCATCATTGTGTCACCTGGGCGTCATGGTTGCCGGTGCTCGACAGCTCTGAGTGTGAGCTGGTGTCTGTTCGGAGGTACTGATCGTACCGCTCGAGAGGGTGTTTCCTCTGCATCATTGCTGTAGTTCCAGTTTAGGAGCGATCGTACGTAGAACACGGCGTGCTGTGAGTGACTGCTGCCCTTCTGCTTGTAAATGGTATGAGAGAATGGTCTGCCGGATGTTTGAACGGAAGTCCCGCTGATCGGCCGTGAAAGTGGCCGGTTGATCGCAACACTGATTAGCCTTGACGCTGCTGTTTTGCTTGGGTGTTTTTTTTTGCTTTTTCATATTGTAATATTTGGTTTCTATTTGGAGAGTAATTGATTATTCGTTTTTTTGCGTGTTCTTTTGTTTTTATTTTATTAAGTGACAGTACATTCTTTTCATGTTTATTTTGTGTTAATTGTTTTTGGCTGGCAACCTTAACAATTAATGCTGTTTTCTGTATCAATTGGTTTTCTTTCTTTTCTTTCTAGGAGCAGGGGTGACCCAAAAGTGGGCAGGCTAGCCATCCTGTGCATGGTGAATGGAAACTCCTTTTAAGAGTGCGGTGTAGGGTTTCTTGCAGTGGATTTCACTGGAGTGTGTGCTTTGGAAGTTTTGGGGCACGGTGTACTTATTGTGGGCTGATTCGAAGCCCACCGCTCAGCCTGCCCAGCTAATGGTGCGCCCCAGCTCCATGACGAGAGCCTGCATTTGTTCCCTTGTCGGACCTAGTTGCTCATATACAAATTAGCTCAAATGTAAATCAGTGGCCTGGTTTTCCATATCAACTATTTTGCTGACCCTAGTGGTATTTTAAACTATTTATGATCATTGAATAAAGAGACTTTTCTGTAATCACGTCTCAGTGTTTTGTGATTGTGGGAAGGAGAACGAACTTGTGTGCCCTTTTATGGGTTTTTTTCCCCAGCTGGTTAAATGCTGGGGTGGCGTAGTCGTCATTAATTAGAGCTCTGTATGGGAGAGCGCAGCCCATCCTATATCGCTAAAAAAGAGCCACTTGCTACAATCTGGCGTAGTCGGCAGGGTTTTCTCCTCCTTAACACACTGACCTGAGACGTAGATATTTGTATGAATTGTGGTTGATTTGTTGTTTTTTTGTTTGTTTTTTTTTAGAAGCAAAACAGCAGTGTTAATTTGGCTGGGAGTGTGCTTTTCGTAGTAAGCTGAGTTCCATCTTGGCATGTGGTATTCTCTGGTCAAAAATTGTGGTAAGTTTCTCTGTTCCATCGTGCGAATTTTAAAAATGGGAGATGAACTACAGGAACTAAGAGAATTAGTAGCTCAATTAAGAGTTGACAATTTGAAGCTGCGTCAGGATCAAGCCCTGGCCATTTCACAAGAGATTGCAACGGAGAACGTATTCCTCCCCGCTCACCTTTGATCGACCGAACAGACACCAGGGCACTGGGAGGCAGGCAGCCTTATTTAGGCGCGACGTTGAGTAGCCGTAAAGGCAGAGGACCTGTAACCAGTGCCTTACTCATGTTTTTAGCCGTCATGTCCGAGAACTCGTGTATCACTTGTTTCTCATTGGGTAGCCGTAAAGGCAGAGGACCTGTAACCAGTGCGTTACTCATGTTTTTAGCCGTCATGTCCGAGAACTCGTGTATCACTTGTTTCTCATCGTGTAGCCGTAAAGGCAGAGGACCTGTAACCAGTGCCTTACTCATGTTTTTAGCCGTCATGTCCGAGAACTCGTGTATCACTTGTTTCTCATTGTTCAGCCGTTATGTCAGAACTCGTGTATCACTTGTTTCTCATTGAGTAGCCGTAAAGGCAGAGGACCTGTAACCAGTGCCTTACTCATGTTTTTAGCCGTCATGTCCGAGAACTCGTGTCTCACTTGTTTCTCATTGTTTAGCCGTTATGTCAGAACTCGTCTACCACCTGTTCTCGTTGAGTAGCCGTAAAGGCAGAGGACCTGTAACCAGTACATTACTCCTGATTTTAGCCGTCAAGGCAGAGGCCTTGTGTGTCGAGTGCGTCCGTGATCTCGTGTTGTAGCCGTCAAGGCAGAGTAACTGTTTATCACTCGCGATGTAGCCGTCAAGGCTGGGAACTTGTAATAAGCTGTCCATCGTCGGGTCGGCGATGCAAAAGCGGGGGGTAGATTGAGGTGAAGTGGCGCTTTAAGCATGACTCCGCCCCATGTATATTTACAGAGCCTTATTTAGAGTATATAAAGGGCAGCCCCAGAGTAGCGGGAGATTGCGTCATCATTGTGTCACCTGGGCGTCATGGTTGCCGGTGCTCGACAGCTCTGAGTGTGAGCTGGTGTCTGTTCGGAGGTACTGATCGTACCGCTCGAGAGGGTGTTTCCTCTGCATCATTGCTGTAGTTCCAGTTTAGGAGCGATCGTACGTAGAACACGGCGTGCTGTGAGTGACTGCTGCCCTTCTGCTTGTAAATGGTATGAGAGAATGGTCTGCCGGATGTTTGAACGGAAGTCCCGCTGATCGGCCGTGAAAGTGGCCGGTTGATCGCAACACTGATTAGCCTTGACGCTGCTGTTTTGCTTGGGTGTTTTTTTTTGCTTTTTCATATTGTAATATTTGGTTTCTATTTGGAGAGTAATTGATTATTCGTTTTTTTGCGTGTTCTTTTGTTTTTATTTTATTAAGTGACAGTACATTCTTTTCATGTTTATTTTGTGTTAATTGTTTTTGGCTGGCAACCTTAACAATTAATGCTGTTTTCTGTATCAATTGGTTTTCTTTCTTTTCTTTCTAGGAGCAGGGGTGACCCAAAAGTGGGCAGGCTAGCCATCCTGTGCATGGTGAATGGAAACTCCTTTTAAGAGTGCGGTGTAGGGTTTCTTGCAGTGGATTTCACTGGAGTGTGTGCTTTGGAAGTTTTGGGGCACGGTGTACTTATTGTGGGCTGATTCGAAGCCCACCGCTCAGCCTGCCCAGCTAATGGTGCGCCCCAGCTCCATGACGAGAGCCTGCATTTGTTCCCTTGTCGGACCTAGTTGCTCATATACAAATTAGCTCAAATATAAATCAGTGGCCTGGTTTTCCATATCAACTATTTTGCTGACCCTAGTGGTATTTTAAACTATTTATGATCATTGAATAAAGAGACTTTTCTGTAATCACGTCTCAGTGTTTTGTGATTGTGGGAAGGAGAACGAACTTGTGTGCCCTTTTATGGGTTTTTTTCCCCAGCTGGTTAAATGCTGGGGTGGCGTAGTCGTCATTAATTAGAGCTCTGTATGGGAGAGCGCAGCCCATCCTATATCGCTAAAAAAGAGCCACTTGCTACACCTGGATGTCACACTTTAAATCCTACCTGTTGGCTTTGAGCATGCCCTTATTTAGCTGCTGTCGCATCAAATGACATGCCATCTCCTTTTCCCTCTTTCTTTTTCTATTTTTAGCCCCACAGCATTTTGTTTTATCCATCTTTTTCGACGACAACTCACTACTCGTACCTGCTCGCCAGTGGACGCGCACTGTTATGAATGCACACACAGAAGACTGTATTATCGTAATGTTTCGACTTTATTCTCGAAATGTTTCGACTTTAATCTCGAAATGTTTCGACTTTAATCTCGAAATGTTTCGACTTTAATCTCGAAATGCTAGTTTTTTATTTTTTTTTACTGATTTTTTTTACGTTGCGGTTTCGACTTTATTCTCGAAATATTTCGACTTTAATCTCGAATTGCTTTTTTTTTTTTTTTACTGATTTCTTTTTTTTTTTACGTTGCGGTTCAGGGCTTCTATTTTTAACTTCATTGCAAGTGTATGACATTTGGTATAATAAACAATGGTAATTAAGTGCTTTTCCTAAAGATGAGAAAGAAAATACAGGGTAAAACAGTATGAACTACAAATAAAGTCAGTATGTGAGGCTAGATGTGTTTTAGTCTGAATTAGGTAAGATGCGTGCTTCCATTTCAGTTTCCACAAATCCCTTCACTCGATTGGGATGTTCTCTTGTGTTCTGGGCGGCAAGTGCAGTAACTGTAACTGTTTTTTTTTTTACTGATTTTTTTTTACGTTGCGGTTCAGGGCTTCCGTATAACACAGCCTAGGCCTACACTAAAAAAAACCCCCCTGTAATCGTTCTTCAAAATGTCTTCCTTTGTGTTCAGCAGAAGAAAGAAACTCATACAGGTTTGCAACAACTTGAGGGTGAGTAAATGATGACAGAATTTTCATTTTTGGGTGGAGTATCCCTTTAAATATGTAATAAACAGTAATACAATCAAGTAGCCTACATTAAGATCACCTTTTTTAATTGGATGCAGAGCTCTAATGCGGTCTGTTCTTCCAGATGAAATTAAACAAAACAGGTGTTAATTGTTAAATAGATTTTAACAGGGCTGGAATGGCATATCAAAAGACAGCACGGAACTCTTTAAATATTTTTTTTTGTGTTAACTGTAATTTTTGAAAAGTTAAAAATCGGTGTTCAAAGAGATCGGGTGATCTTGTTTTTGAGTTGGTAAAGTTGCGATGGTGGGAGGAGAGCAGCATTCTCAACCCGAGTCAGAATAAAAGCAGGCTACACTTATTTAGTGAAAACTGCATTCCATCAGAAGACCGGAGACAGCGGTTCAGACATCATCGCTTTAAAGCTGTTGTTGCCTTTTGTGATTATGTAAAAATAACAGTAGGCTAGTTCACAAGAATGATTGCTCTCGTCTTACTGGTTTTCGGAATCGGAGGCGACTCATTGCTGCAGTGGATTTGGGATTTCATGTATAAGGAACGTCATGTTCTCCTCACGTCACCCCAGTGGAGTGTGTGCGCAGCTTTCAGCACTCATCTCATCTTCTCTGCTCCCTTCATGCTTCTGGATGTGTTCAGTACACACGTGGTGTGGATTCATAAGTACAGGATACGCAGTGAAGCCGTTGATTTATATCAGTGGTTTCGATGTGGTTCTCGAATTTTATGGAAATATATGGTTGGCGTTTTACCGTTAACCGCGTTGTTTCTGTCGGTACGGCGCACGCATTTCCCGGAGAGAGCACCGTCCTCATTTCATGCATTCAGGGAATGTGTCTCATGCATGCTCATCTTCGATACGCTGTTCTTCATGTTTCATTATACCATTCACAAGTAAGCAGAACACATCTCTCTAATCTCAGCATGTGGACCTTGGCAAAGTTTTAAATTCTGTTCATCTCGCTATATTAAATATGTTTCGGTTATGGCTTTCTCAGTTTGTGTAAACTATAGGGTTCAGAGTATTTTTTTATTTATTCCACATTATTTTTTACACATGTCTGGTACAAATATGCGGCTTTGTTTCATTCATACAGTGTATACTTTTTTCTTTATTTACCCTGGAAAATGAAAGTTAAATGTGACAACATGCCCCATAGTATGAACGTTGTAACATGTGAGGGGCACATTGTAACACGATGACATATGACAGCTTAAAATGTTTTCTGATCTAATAAAAAAAATATACAGGGGGGAGGGAGTAATAAAGGCCTTCTGAAGCAAAACGATGAGTTTGATGAAAAATATTCATATTTAAAACATTATAAAGTAAAATAACTAGTTTCCAGCCAAACGAACATATGGATCTGACTTACGTGTAAAGTGCAACTCGTGCTAGTAATGTGACATACTGCGGATATTTACGCTATGCCATGAGGCACTATGCCACTTCCGACGCCATAAGTTGCGCATTAGGCATGGCCGGAAGCTTGAATTTTACTTTATAACATTTTTCTTACACAAACTCATCGCTTTGCTTCAGAAGGCCTTTATTAACCCTAACCGCTTTACATTTTGCCTCACATTCACCCATTTACTCACTCGTTCATACACCGATGGCGGTGTCAGCCATGCAAGGCACCATCCAGCCCGTTGGTAGCAGCTGGGGTTAGGTGTCTTGCTCATGGACACCTCAACACTTGGTCAGGTGGAACCGGGGATTGAACCACCAGCCTTCCGGTTTGTAGACAACCTACATGAACCACTGAGCCACTGCCACCACACAGTAATCAAGCCTAGATATGACCAGGGCCTGGACGAGGAGTTGTGTTGCATGCTGCTCAGTTAGGAAAGGCCTGGTCTTCCTGATGCATTGCAAACCTGCATGATCGAGCTGTCTTTGTAATCTGGTCTGTGAAGGTCAACTGGTCATCAAATATTACTTCAAGATTTCTGACCGACCTTGAAAGATTGACGATTAATCTAGCTGGATAGTGAAGTCGTGCTGTGGAGACAGATTAGCAGGGAGGACGAGAAGCTCAGTTTTTGCCAGGTTGAGCTGCAGGTGATGTTCCTTCATCCATGCCGAGATGTCCGCCAGACAGCTTGAGATACACTCACCGGCCACTTTATTAGGTACCCCATGCTAGTAACGGGTTGGACCCCCTTTTGCCTTCAGAACTGCCTCAATTCTTCGTGGCATAGATTCAACAAGGTGCTGGAAGCATTCCTCAGGGAGTTTGGTCCATATTGACATGATGGCATCACACAGTTGCCGCAGATTTGTCGGCTGCACATCCATGATGCGAATCTCCCGTTCCATCACATCCCAAAGATGCTCTATTGGGTTGAGATCTGGTGACTGTGGAGGCCATTTTAGTACAGTGAACTCATTGTCATGTTCAAGAAACCAATTTGAAATGATTAGAGCTTTGTGACATGGTGGAAGTAGCCATCAGAGGATGGGTACATGGTGGCCATAAAGGGATGGACATGGTCAGAAACAATGCTCAGGTAGGCCGTGGCATTTAAACGATGCCCAATTGGCACTAAGGGGCCTAAAGTGTGCCAGGAAAACATCCCCCACACCATTACACCACCACCACCAGCCTGCACAGTGGTAACAAGGCATGATGGTTCCATGTTCTCATTCTGTTTACGCCAAATTCTGACTCTAACATCTGAATGTCTCAACAGAAATCGAGACTCATCAGACCAGGCAACATTTTTCCAGTCTTCAACTGTTCAATTTTGGTGAGCTCTTGCAAATTGTAGCCTCTTTTTCCTATTTGTAGTGGAGATGAGTGGTACCCGGTGGAGTCTTCTGCTGTTGTAGCCCATCCGCCTCAAGGTTGTGCGTGTTGTGGCTTCACAAATGCTTTGCTGCATACCTCGGTTGTAACGAGTGGTTATTTCAGTCACTGTTGCCCTTCTATCAGCTCGAACCAGTCTGGCCATTCTCCTCTGACCTCTGGCATCAACAAGGCATTTCCGCCCACAGAACTGCCGCTCACTGGATGTTTTTTCTTTTTCGGACCATTCTCTGTAAACCCTAGAGATGGTTGTGCGTGAAAATCCCAGTAGATTAGCAGTTTCTGAAATACTCAGACCAGCCCTTCTGGCACCAACAATCATGCCACGTTCAAAGTCACTCAAATCACCTTTCTTCCCCATACTGATGCTCGGTTTGAACTGCAGGAGATTGTCTTGACCATGTCTACATGCCTAAATGCACTGAGTTGCCGCCATGTGATTGGCTGCTTAGAAATTAAGTGTTAACGAGCAGTTGGACAGGTGTACCTAATAAAGTGGCCGGTGAGTGTACGTGCAGCTACTGTGGGATCATCTGGTTGAAATGAGAGGTAGAGCTGTGTGTCATCAGCATAGCAATGGTAAGAGAAACCATGTGCCTGTATGATGGATCCCATTGATGTGGTGTAAATAGAGAAGAGGAGTGGCCAAGAACTGAACCCTGAGGAACCCCTGTGGTCAGTTGATGTGCTTTGGATACCTCACCTCTCCATGTGACCCTGAAGGACCTACCTGTGAGATAGGACTCAAACCAGTGGAGGGAAGTTCCAGTAATGCCCAGTGATGAGAGGGTGGACAGAAGGATATAATGGATAAAAGCGTCTGCTAAATGACTAAATGTAAATGTAAATAATGATTCACAGTGTCGAAAGCAGCAGACAGATCCAGCAGAACGAGGACTGATGATTTGGAAGCAGCTTTTGCAGGGCTTCTGTGACCGACAGTAATGCAGTCTCGGTTGAATGTCCTTTCTTGAAGCCAGATTGGTTGACATCCAGCTGGTTGTTCAGAGACAGGAAAGATGATACTTAGTTGAAAGCAACTCGTTCAAGTGTTTTCGCAATGAATGGTAGGAGAGAGACAGGTCTGTAATTCTCTAAAAGTGATGTGTTTAATGTTGTTTTTTTAAGCAGTGAAGTTACACGAGCCTGCTTGAATGCTGTAGGGAAAATGCCAGTGTGGAGGGATGAGTTGAAAATGTGTGTGAGAGCTGGTAGAAGTGTGGCAGAGATGGCTTGTAGAAGGTGTGAGGGGATAGGATCTAGAGGGCAGGTGGTAGGATGACTTGAGAGGAGAAGTTTAGATACTTCTACCTCGGTTAGTGGAGAGAAGGAGGAGAGAAGGTTATTGGCTGTGGGAGAGGTTAGTCTGGGTTCCTGTGTGTTTGGAGCTAAGAACTGACTGCTGATAGTTGTAGTTTTGTTAGTGAAGAAGTTAGCAAAATCATCAGCAGTTAGCAAGGAGGTTGGTGGTGGTGGAGGTGGACAGAGGAGACAGTTGAATGTCTTAAAGTGTTTGTATGTTAGAGGCACGGTTGATCTTGTTGTGGAAATATGAAGATTTTGCAGCGTGAACATCAACAGAAAAGGATGACAGCAGAGACTGATACATACTCAGATCAGATGTGTCTTTTGATTTGCGCCATTTCCTCTCCGTTGCCCTGAGTTTGGTCCGGTGTTCACGAAGAACCTAAGATAACCAGGGGTTAGAGGGAGTAGCGCGTGCTGGCCTGGAGGAGAGAGGGCAGATACTGTCTAAAGAAGAAGTTAAAATGGAGCATAAAGTATCCGTTTCCATATTCACATCCAGAGATGGGAATTGCTAGGGTGAGGGAAGAGAAAAAGTTTCATGACATAACTTTGTATAATTAGACAAAAATTGTTCACATCCAGCAAACAAAAAGCTCAATGAGGGTGCTCAACCATAAAAAACAAAAACAAAACATGTTCTACACGAGAACATGCAATAAATAATTATTCTATTCATGGAGCTGTGATGTGCCAACTTCTTCTTTTTATTCATTACAAATACAAGGAACAAAGATCATGTGCAAAGCTAAATACTTTATATAGAAAATATAGAAAAATCACTCTCCTACATTCATCTTTTATAATCTGTTGATGTCATTATGATATATCTCACTCTACTTATTTTCTCCACAGATTCTCCATAGATTCAGCATAAATTAAATAACATTTTATAACACACAATAATAGAGACTAAAACAAATTTATGTATTTTTTCCCAGAATTCCCTGGCTGTACCACAACATCCACCGCATTCACCATCTTAACAGGGACACTTTTGCATTGGCAGCTCAAGACTCCAGTATTTCTGAACTGCTGTCTCTACAAACCCTTGCATTTATCAGTGCCATACTGGTGGGCTGCCACCCTGTTAGCGAAATCCTTTTCCATCTGGTTAACACCTGGATGGCAGTGGAGGACCACTGTGGATATGACTTTCCTTGGGCACTGCACCGGTTGCTGCCATGCTTTGGTGGGGCTCCACACCACCTGGCCCACCATCAGCACTTTAAAGGGAACTTCGCCCCCTACTTCAGACACTGGGATTACATCTTTGGGACCTCATTGCCCATCCCAGTAAATGAAGGAGAAAATTGATAAGGTGAATCCTGGGTTAATTAGACCACTATGACAGTGAGATTGAGGCTGTAAAAAAGTCTATCATATTTCACCCTGAATGAACTGTCATTTAACATTTTAACAGATTTTCAAATGTCCTTACTGAAATAAGTCCAGATATACCAAGGAACATCAAGTTAATTTGGTTTATAATAATCAGACAGTTTACAATCACACTTGCAAGTGTCTCATTTTTTTACTCAACCTAAACTGTGTGGATGTTTTATGCATGCATTGATTACTGGCCATTTATGTAGGTAAGGGTTAGTAACACACATGTAACATTTCATTCAAAAATGTTTCTATACAAATATAATTATTACAGTTGGTAAATTCCCATGTTGCTTTTAAACTTTAACTTTAAATTTGTAAAATGTTTTATTTTAAAGTGACATAACAAACTGCCTTGGGTGCATTTTGAAGTATTTCCAATGGAAACCTGTCGAACAGTTTAATAAAAATATAGCAACATTATAATGTTATGTTGAAGTAATTACATACAATAGCATTCAAAAGTTTGAGGTTGGTAAGATTTTTTTAAATGTTTCTTAACTCTTATGCCCACCAAGGCTGCATTTACTTGAACAAAAAGCAGTAATATTATGAAATATTGGTGCAATTTAAAGTAACTTTTTTGTATTTGGATTAGTTATACACGATCTCTCTATATGAACTTCTTGAAAGGTCATAGTGGTAGTTTGCGTAGGCTGTCAATGGAGGGACAGAAATCTCAGATTTCACCAAAAATGTCTTCCTTTGTGTTCAGAAGATGAACGAAAGTCTTACGGGTTTGGAACGACATGAGGGTGAGTAATTAATAACAGAATTGTCATTTTTGGGTGACCTATCCCTTTAAGGATACTTGGTATGTTTTATAACAATGATATGATTTATAATAATAAGTCCTCTTGTATGAAAGTAGTTGAGGTGCGGATCTTAAATTAGCTGACAACCGCTACAGATTGTTCAGGCAGAACAATAAATCACTTGGTCCATGTCCACAATAAAGTTTTTTACTGTTGTCTTTTGATTCATACATCAGTTATGGGTGTGGTTCTATAAATGAACAATAATAACAATAATGAATATAGATACAATGAGGCAGAAACAGTAATAACTGAACAATATAAAAGTAATGCAATAGGCTCTATGCACGTCGCAGTTCCGGGTTCGCGTGTACTAGGCTATCAACTTCCGGTTCAACTTCCTGTTTATACACAGTCAGATATGGCTCTCTTTTATAGTCGTTGTCTTCAGGACTTACCTCGTCTGACGGTAAATGATGTAGACCGACTCATTAAAAAATCATGTGCTGCTCCCAACAGCAAGCGGGAAAAGGGATTTAAAATGTACATCGGGAGCTATATCGACAATTATGAGGGTAAGTAGCTAAAGTACTTACTATATTAACCCCTCAGGTTGTGTAGGTCATTTTGACCCGGTGAAAATTTTAATTAGTTAATGTTATCGCATTGGACTGAAACTTAGCGACTTTGTTTACAAAGGGTATAACTACTTCTCAAATGTTTTTGCGAGAAATTGAAATGAAATGAAAATTTGACAATTTTCGTAGGGGAGAGCGGGGCACAACGTAACGTGGGGCTAGTTGTAACACACTTGTTTTAAATACTTCCACACATGCCAGCATGACGAAACCTCTTTTACTGTCTATGGACGAAACTTAGTGTGTTTACTAGTTGTCATATCAGCACTATATAGAGAAAAAAAATGCGCCAAAATTCAGAAATCGTTGTAAGATATCACTGAACATTTATTTAACCATAGCAAAATTATTTTTCTTACTATATTAATTTTTCATCTCTATTCATTTGTGTTTATTTAAATTTAGACAAATCTGATACATTAAAAAATGCCATTATTTTATATGAAAAAGTTAATAATTGTATTTTATTGAGAAAATGTTTTGGTTTGACTTGTATATATTTTTTATTAGATCAGATAACATTTTAAGCTGTCATGTTACAATGTGCCCCTCCTATATGGCATGTTGTCACATTTAACTTCTATTCTTTAGGGGTATATCAAGAAAAAAAAAGTATACACCGTATTAGTAAAACAAAACTACATAATTGTACTAGACATGTGGGAAATTAATGTTGGGAAAAATAAATACTCTAAACCCTAAGTAGATTTACACAAACTGAGTAAGTCAAAAAGCGTTACGTTGTGCCCTGCTCTCCCCTACTTTTTAGGGGGAAGGAGGGGGGGGGGGGGGGGGGTTTGGGTGTCAATCTTTTTGTCAACTTGTTCTCTTTGAATTAGGACTGGTTTTATATTTATTTTTGCTTCTAATTAACCATAGGCCTCATTTATCTGAGAGTAGGCATCTCATTTTTTGATATATAGATAGATATATATATACAATTTTTTTTTTTTTTTTTTTTTTTACAAATGTTTGACTTTTTTACTAAATAAAACAGTTTCAAAATGTATGTTCATCTTTCTCCCTAACAGTGTCAATGAAAGACAAGGTGACAGGAGAGGTCAGCGTGAGGGCAGTCTGTCATAGATCCATGAGGAAAAATGAAAAGCCACACGAATTGAGAAAAGGGTGACTAGGGTCAATGTTAGGGTAATAGTTAGTTAGGCCTGTTGATAAGTTGCCCTGTTGATAAGTTGCCCATATCAGCTAATAAGTAGCATTATCTAAATGTATATGGCTTAGTCTCTGTCTACTGTTTATGGACTTGAATGGGTAGGCCTACATTTTAACATATGTGCCCCTCATCTAGAATACACTATGCTTTTATTAGTTATATTTTCCTCTTGTTAACAGTTTAGCTCTTGAGAGGAATTTGTCATCTAAGCTTCTATTTCTCCCTAGATGGTGTTAAAACACTCGAAACCTGTCATTTTGGCGAGCACTCACTGCTCCTGTGTGGCGGGGTGTGCCTTATGCAACCATTTGGTTGCACTACTGTATCAAACAGCACACTTCTCCCAATTAAGCATCCCTGCTGTACCCCCAGTGCACAGTTGCACTGACACTGAGCAGATCTGGCATAAACCAAGGACCTTGGTAAGTCATCTGTCTGTCATGTAAATTGTACCTTTGCACATGTAGCTATTGTGATGCCATGTCAAAATGTGTCTTTGCTGTCAGGGTGTTAGGCCAGGTCCGGTGGGAGACATGGAGGTCCGCAAACCCCAAAATTCAACCGCGGTTTGTGTGAGGTGAGATTATTTTACCTTTAGTTTATGTGTTTAATATGTACGCTGCAGTTTAAAAAAAAAAGTTTTTTCACTTTACCTTTTTCAGAAGTTCTCTCTACGAAGTTTGTTGTATGTGCGCAGGAGGACATGTTTGTTGAGCGTATATACAAAGATATTGATGTAATGCGCACCATTAGAGACCGAGCAGATCTGTGTTTTTTTTACCACTACCTACTGAAGTGTTTGCGTGTTTAGGTCATTTTTAGATAACCAGTGAAGTATTTCTCAATTTCTACAATTGTACAAATGTTGCTTTATTTCATGACTGTGTGTTACAGTGTGGCCACATACCACTGGTGGTCCATTCAATTATAATATACAGCATTATATTTATTGTATTATTATTTGTTATTTACACTATAAACAATATTTACATATATATACAAAATACTCATATATACACACATACTATATTTATACAATATATATACACCTGTATCTATTATATTACATTAGACATGTATATGTACATATATATTTAGATTTGTATAGGCTAGTTAATAAATATGTTGTTATGCATTATGAAATTATAATAAAAAATGCATAAGGAAACACTGTCTTAGTTTTGTCTGTTGATCAGTGTGTGAAATCCATAGTTTTTACAAAAGTATATGTACAATATTTACATTTACCTTAGCACATTAACAAGGATGAGGGTTTTTAGACTCAGTGGCTCCATGCCTTGACAAGTGGTCCACATTGGTAGTTCACAAGCAAACATGCCACTGTAAACAGTTGGTTTATGCTACCAGAAATGGACAAGGGGATGACTGTGTCAAACAACTTATGCTCCTTCACTCGACGGATAAGACGTTCAACGTGTACCCTGAGCCTGGCCACAGACTGAGTGTGTGTCACTTCATGAGGTAGCATTTGTTTTCCCTTGGTCAGGAAAACAGGCCGGTGAATTTTGCATGGCACTAGGCTGTCAATTAAGAAGTCCAAGTGCACACTGACCCCAGGACAAAGTACAGGAAGTTGGCCCAGGTTGTTATGATGCGGCTCACAGTGGCCTGATGTACATGGAAGCGATGACCAAGGTCCTTTTGCTTGAGGCCCAAAGCAAGATGCATCATGAACAGGAAGAACTCGTCTATTGCAGGAAGTGCCCGAGTGTTTCCACCCTCCTTGGTGACTTGGAGTTGGTGACACGAATCATTCTGTGCGTTGCCGGTTCAATCAGTTCCCAGAAGGCCATCAGGTGGTTATAGGTTGCAAATCTGTCAAGAAATAAACGTGCATTGGTTCTCACATGGCATAAAAGACTAACACTTAGCTTTATAATATAGTCATTTTCAGTTTAGGAAATAAGAATGGTGAACTACAAGTAATTGATACAACAATCTTGTAATACATCATGAGTCATGAAAATTATGGAATTCCGTATGTATGATTAAACTAACTCTGATTGCTGTTGAAGACAACATATGTTATTCATACATATAATTATGTTAGCCTATGTTGTTATTATTTTGGTCGGTGTAGCCTACTTTTACGTGCAGCTAGCTTATACAACTCAAATAATATTTAATAACACTGTGGACTAGTGTTTTCAAGACAAAGGCAACGCTATTACAAATGCTTATCACAGGAAATATAATTTTACCTTGTATAAAAGCGAATGTCCTCATCGGACCCAGCAAATCTCTGGAGACCGAAGCGAAGTATGATCTTGGTCTGGTCCAACTGCTTCCGTAGATCTTCTATCTCCCTCGTCAACTCCTCATTTTCATGTAATACCATGT